TAGCACAAGGCTGCAATCCTATGGAGAGGGCTTCTTTATTTCTTTGGATCGTTAACAGGAACTGCATACCTTGGGCTTGATTTTAGTTCAGATGCTCCTGGGGAGAGGTGATGAGGGTGGGGGTGGGGCCGGGGGCACGGAACAGAGAAAAGAAATAATAAAATGTTATTTGAGATCAACCCTTCTTCCCCTCTCCCAGGGACCAGCCTTGTCTCTCCCACCCTCCTGCCTCTGTCCATGCTCCCAGCACCCAGGCGGAGGCACAGTGCTGAATGTGCTAAATTAGGCCATTAGAGAAATTCATTTCTCTTTATTAGTCTGTGTCAAATCCTTTTTATTAGTGGCTGGAAACGACCTCTCTTCTGCAGTAAAATGTCATGCCGGTTCACTCCTTTTATTTGTTCTGCACTGACGAGGCTCAAACTCTCACTGAATTAGTGCAGTGAGATTTATTTCCTCCAAATTTTGAACGGCTTAAGAGAGATTGGGGTGGAGGGGGCGGTCAGGAGGGAGGTGGCCTGTGGGGAGCCGAGTTGTGAAGGGGTGGGGAGGGAGGAGGTGAGCTCCTGTGGAGGTCAAATGTCCTCTGCTCTTTGGAAATAAAGTCTAATGACCATCTCTCATATCTTGTTCGTCTTCCGGGCCCTGGGGACTAAGTCCCTACCCTTGTGTTTCAAGCTTATGAAGGGTGTTGGTCAAGGGGTGCACGGAGCTGGACAGCAGGAGGGAGGGCTCCTTAAAACCTGTGTTTTTGAGCTGGATGTAGCTCAGTAGTAAATCACTCATCTGCTATGCACGAGACTCTAAGTTTGATCGCCAGCACCAAAAAACAAATATGCTAGCTGGACAAACTGACGGGCTAGGAGCCAAGGTCGTGTATGTACATTAGGAAATTCTTCCCCTTATTCCATCCCCCGGGCCTTTCTCATCCCTGGTTGTGCTGCTTAGATGTCAGCTCCCTTCCTTATTAAAGTTGTCCTCTAAGCCTGAAGCAGAAGCTGCTGGGGAGGACTCCTCAACGGGACTCAATGGGGGCTGGGACTTCTTCTCCACTTATGTGAGGATCCGAAAGAATAGCTTAGGAAATACAGTACAAAGCTTAGGCAGGCACATGATGGACAAACACAGAAGGGACAGGGGCTCATCTGTAACTGCCCTGGGGACAGCCTTAGGGAAGCCCAAAGCCATGGCTGCAGCCCTAATACCCATCAGGGTCACTGGTTGCTTGGACTGGTCCTGGAAGTAATGTTGTCTAACCATCCCCATGCAGGTAGGGGACTAGTTCACCGAGTGATCTCGGAGAGCATCCCATTAGCCTGGCATGGCTGCTGAGGATGGGCTCCTGTGTTAGTGGGATGAGACAGTCACGGGAGCCTGGTGGGATAAGAGAAGGGAGGTTTGGGGTGCTGACAGTGCTGCTCAGCCCCCCAGCTCTGGTCAGGAGCAGGAGGCCAAGACAATCCCATGGACCTTAAACAGCACAAAAAGCATAGAAAATACCCCAAAATGTGGCCCAGCAAGATGGCTCAATGAGTTAAGGCATTTACTGACAAGCCTGACAACCTGAGCTCAATCCCCAGGGTTCCACAGAGTAGATGGAGAGAGTCAGCTCCTGCGAGTTGTCCTCTGACCTCCGCGTGTGCACACCCCAATCGAAAGAACGAGCCAGCGAATGAACGAATGAACAAACAACAAATAAATAAATGTAATGAAAGAAGGAAAGAAAATACTATCAAATGAGACAAAAAGTCCCACATATGTCTCCCACACCCATTCTAAGGAGACTGACACCTGCAAGTGGAAGGTTTGTAGTGCAGATGCACACAGCGGCTCTGCAAAAGAGGGGGATGTAGTTCCTCAGTATGTTGGACACCACCGCCTTCTGCCCCATCCCCACCCCTGCAAGCCTGGCTCTGTAGCCCTGTGGCCCTGTCCTGGGCCTACTAAGCATCTCATAGCCTGACACCTACTGCCGTGCTAGCTCTATGGTTTCCTCTCCTCTCTGCCCCCATCACACTATCACACCTGGCCGCATCACCCACACCTCAGAGTTCTTTGCCTTCCTTCTCCCTGCTGAAAACGCCTCTCCCTCAGCTCTTCGCATGGTTGCCCCTCATCATTCCAGGCTTAGCTTAAATGTCACTTCCTCAGAGAGGCCCTCCCTGACCATTCTAAAGAAAGCTGCTTGCTCAGCTCCGCAGAGGAAGGAGTAGGAACAGAGGAAACCTGTGCTCGTAGCTGGCAGAATCCCAGCAGGCCCCATCCACCCACCCCACATGCCACTTACGCTGTGTACACAGAAAACTCAACTCTGCACATGCGTTACATACAGGTAAGGCATATACTACACTTATGACATACAAAGTCAGGCCCCCAGTTGCATGTACACAACCCTGTGTGCATATGTACTGCATGAACACAAAATCACATGCACACACAGTGAAACACACATGCTGACATAGGACAAACACTTGCTCTCCAGAGAGCCTGCACACAACTCCCAGTCCACACACGTGCATACACACACACACACACGCATGCACGCACGCACGCACACACACTCTCTATTTGGCAGCTGCCCACCCTCCCTCCAGTCAGTGAGGAAGGAATGTGCAGTGACCGCATGGCTGCTGTGGGTTGGGGCATGGGCTGCACCCCCACCACCTGGCACGATGCTTCGGATTATTAGTTCCTGGTAATTTAGTGCCCTTGTACAGAGTCGATTTGTGCCTTTCATTCCTAATTGATCTAGTGGCTGTTTAAATGGCAGCAGGCATCTGTTGAGAGTAGGAAGGTTCATAAGGCGCAATAATTCATAACACCGTCTGGAATTTGCCTTTCATGGCCCTCAGCTAAACCACTGCAGGGCTCTGCTTAAATTACAGCCACTGAGGCTTTCTTTGGTATTCCACTCAGGGCCAAGAGAATCTTGCATTAAACTGGGATCAGGTTAGATTAGACTATAATATGCTGCAGTATTGGAGGCTGCAAATGAAGACTTATACTGGAGTTTAACCCCTTCACCTCATGTTCTCTTTGTCTTCAGCTGGGGAGCTAAATTCACCTATTGTTTTTCCCTGTCAGCTCCTTGCTGGGTGCATTAGAGCTTCTGACAATTCTGGGATGCACGAGAGCAAACCTTAAATATTGGCCCTTTTTCTTGCATACTCTAAGCCCAGTGTACAGCCTGGGGGTCCAGTAGTTTATACACCAGCTCTCTAAACAAGTCATCTGAAGTGGGAATAGATCTTTAGCCTCCCACCCCTCCTACACTTAAGTGGAGAGACCTAGGCTGGGCAAGTATGATTTCATGAGGCTAAGCACTCCTGTCTGGGATTCTGGGGCAGGACAGACGTCAGGGCTTCCCTCAGCGCACTGAGTGATATTGAACATACTGGCTAGAGGCTCGGTTCTGCTCCCAGTGTCTACTCTCCTCAGGACTTATACTGTGTTTCCCAATATGGTTGTCATTAGCCACATATGACTTTTTAAATTTGAATTAATTAAAATTCAATAAAATTAAAGATTCATCATCTCAGTCAAGTGCTCATTGGCCTCGAGTGGCTAGTGGTTCCTGTGTTAGATGGTACAAGCTGAAGAACATTTGCTTCACTGCAGAAAGTTCTGTAAGAAGTGCTAGCCGGGCTACCCCTGTGGCAGAGGACCAGCAGGCAGATCCAGCACAGGTTCCTCTTCTTCTTCTCCCATGAAACAGTGCTGCATAGAAAATAAAGACGCAGATGTTGTGGTCTCAGGAGCCTGAGGAGAAAGATCCAAGATGTGCAGATGCTTTCTTAGAACGGGGGAAGGAACTGGGGCTGTCTCCATGCCAGAGTCAACAGCCTAGGCACACATGGGAGTATTGCTGCAGAAATAAGTGCGATGTGTGTGGTTATGTCTGCAAATAAGCATGCAAACATACAACATCTGTGTTCAACAAATGTCTGTGAGGATTCATATACTTCTGCCACACTCTAGATATTCAGGAGTGAATGGATAGGTTTGATCCCTAATTACAGTCTAGGTAAGTAGGCAAATGAAACAAAAACTCAGAGATTTGGGGGAGAGATATGGAGACAGTGGGTAGTCAAGGAAGCTTCTAGGAGGTGGTGATCTCTACACTAAGACCCACAGACCCATCTGATTAAACATTTATGCTCATATAAACTTACCTTAGAAACACACACGCACACACAATTTATTCATTGATTCAGTCTTGAGCTATTTATTAAGTGCCTTCTTTGAGTATACATGGCAAGATTCTTGGATACAACAATCATTTACACAGAGACTGTCTTGGAGAAAAACATAGAATGATACAAATAGCCATTTAATTATAGCTATGCTAAGGATTTGGTGATGGAAGTACAGGCAGATTTTACAAACGCAACTGGGATGTTTGATGAAACTGAGTCCGCCAACAGACATGGGCATATGTGGATGATATATTTCACCCTGTGTACACTTGCAAACACACAACCGTTTATACACATCTGTTGCCCTCAGCTGGCTTCAGACTCTGTGTGTGTGCATTTGTGTGTGTGTGTGTGTGTGTGTGCACGCGCGCGTGCGTATGTGTGTGTGTGTGTTTCTATAATGGGCATATGCAAGATGAAGTACCTAACCCAAATGGTGCCATGAATCTTTGCTTGCGCGCCACTTAGTGCTAACATCCCCACCCTAGAACTCTCTAGATAGTTCCCACATTTCCTTCCTGGCATTGTGCTGAGTCTGAAATGGACACCAACATCTTTGAAGAGTTATAACCTCTCCATGCAGTTTATCTGACCAAAGGGGAAAGGTAGGAACCCTTGGAGGTCCCAGAAGTGGGCTCTCCATGCCAGAAAACAAAATGTTGCCACCTTGGCAGACCTTGGGGACTGGGGACATTCTCAAGGAGTTGGACCCTGGGAAAAGAAGTGATATAACTGCTGGAAAGGGGGCCCCAGCAGCAGCCTGGTCTCTGTGTGCGCATGTGTGAGCTCTTAATGTTCCCACAGGCACCCTCTTTTCCCGCTTCTGACGCTGCTGTTTGAGAAATGTGAACAGGCCACCCAGGGCTCCGAGTGCATCACCTCCGCCAGCTTTGACGTGGACATCGAGAACTTTGTCCACCAGCAGGAGCAGGAACATAAACCCTTCTTCAGCGATGACCCGGAACTGGACAATCTGGTAAAGACCCTCTACCTTACATTCTGGCTGAAGTCTTCCGGTCCTCTGATCCCACCCCAAATCTCCTTAAAGTGCTCCTTTCCTTCACTAATCCAACAGAAAGTTGTGAGTGCCCATTGTGGAACGCACACTATGCACACTATTTCATGATTGAGAATCAGGTCAAAGCATTTTTGTAACGAAGATTCTAGCAGCAGACTCTGCTGCCTAAACTTTCTCTGCCTCTACCTATGTGGCGCCAGCATCTTACCCCCTGCTGCCTTATGGTTCAAACAAATGGGAAGTGGGGGACTGGCAGCTAGAACGCCAAAGGTAGTTATTCTGAGTCTGCATGGAGATCTGGCGGCTGTGGCAAAGAAGGCAGACGTGTGATGGAAGGTAAGAGGTATATTTGAGCTTGTCCACCCCGGGAAAGACCTGGTCTTCCTGGACACCGTAGACCATGCTCCCAAATAGTTTGCCACTCAAATAATCACGACATCCTGTAAAATACAAGTTCCTGGGCTGCACTGGGGAACTGTGATTCTGTTGATGGCAACTGCCATCCTTAGCAGTGGTGGCTCCTGGGTTATCTAGCCTGGGAGTTTTATGGAAGAAGTGTGCTGGAGAGCCAGTGTGCTGAGAGCCAGTGTGCTGTCCATCATGGAGTGTGCTGAGAGCCAGTTCCATCATGGAGAGTGCTGGAGAGCCAGTGCGCTGTCCGCCATGGAGTGTGCTGAGAGCCAGTGTGCTGGTCCCTCATGGAGAGTGCTGAGAGCCAGTATGCTTGCCCATCATGCCAAGTGGTTCCTGGAAGTAATAACCTCAGGATCTGATGTTTTGGTTTTTGTTTTGCTTGTTTGGTTGGTTGGTTTGGGTTTTTCATGACAGGGTTTCTCTGTGTCACAGCCCTGTTCTGGAACTCCCTTTGTAGACCAGGCTGGCCTTAAACTCACAGAGCTCCAGCTGTCTCTGCCTCCCAAGTGCTGGAATTACAGGTGTGAGCCACCACGGCCTCACAGGACCTGAGTTTTTGATGTTTGTGAACTGTGCAGATTATCACAATGAATTTGGAAACTCGGCAAATCCGTCCTCCAACACATGCATGCATGCATGCAGGCACATGCGCACGCACACACTAATTGGTGGTAGTGCTAACCTCTTCTACCCAGAGTTCAGCTGTTATCCACTCCCCAAAAAAGAATAGAATTCGGGAAGCTAAAGTGGCTACAAAAAGAAAGTAAAAGTACACGGTTATCTCCCAGGCACACGTATGCATGAGTACACTTGTGGACACATACACCCACATTTAGTACATATACAGACCAGATGAATGACTTCGGTATTATTTGGGAGCATGAATTATTCACACCACTTCTTCTTTCCATGTTCGGAGCCATACTTTGTACAATACTGAAATAGCTGCCACCCAGACAACCCTGCCTGGCTTGGGATTTTCTGGTGCTGTCATGATTTAAGAATGTGGGGGCCGAGGGCTGGAGAGATGGATGATTGGTTAAGAGCACTGCTTGCTCTCCCAAAGGTACTGAGTTCAATTCCCAGCAATCACATGGTGGTTCACAACACCTGTAATGAGATCTGGTGCCCTCTTCTGGCCTGTAGGCATGCATGCAGGCAGACCACTGTATAGTTACATAAATAAATCTAAAAAAAAAAAAGAATGGGGGCCCGACCTCAGACATGGGAGAAGTACTTACTGATCGCCAGGAATATTAGTGGAGGCATTGAGAACCCCAAATCTACCTCTCCCTCTCCCCTAACGGGCGGCGAACCCTGGCTACAACCTCTTAGAGGCTAGGAAAGCTTCCACTGTGCTGGTCCTTCAGCTGGACTGTGGGGGCAAGGCTGGCTCAGCCCTGCCCTGCTCCTCAGCTAGTGGGAATCAGAAGATTCTGCAGTTTGGAAAGGAATTCCTCAGAATCCGGCTTCAGGCTGCTATGGAGTCAAGAGACAACTCTTTCTCAAAGTCGGGGTAGACTTGGAACTGGGCCCACGGCACACATGTGCACACACACACATGTAATAATGACCCTAACATCATCATTGTCTGCATGATCTTGATGACTGAATTCCTTTGAAGCTCAGTTTCCTCATCTATACAGCTAACTGCCCTTAGCTCACACGACTGTAATAAATTAATGGATGGCTCATAGACTTTGGCCTTTAAAAATGCTTTGCATCTGAAAATTAATCTCACTGTGGTAGTGTTTCAGATCTTCAGCCTTTCTGTATCCCGGCTGTCAAAGGCACAGTATGATCTGGATCCCGAAACTGTCGGTGTAGGGTCGGGTAAAACCCAGCAGTGCCCTTTGCCACCGGTTCCTAGCCCAGTGTCAAAAGGAGGAGACGCAGAGGCCAAGCACAGGAGCCATCGTTAGGACAAGAATCATGTCTCCAGCACGGCCGAGATGCACATAATTAGAAATTAGAAAAAGGTCAGATTCCGTTATTACCAGCTCAATCAGCTGCCGAGTGCCACAGCCAGTTAATTTGGCATCTGTATTTTTTACAACCCCGCACACGTAGCCCAACGGACTGTAACTCTTTCTCCGGACAGATATACTGCGCAGCCGAGCAGGGACATAAAATGAGGGACCCCAAGCAAATGAGCTGAGATAATTGAGAGATTTATTTTTTATATATGTGTGTGTGAGGGCAGCTTTCCTTTGCCCTTGAATATTGACTTTCATAGATAGGATTGTCAGGAGGGCACTTGGATCCCCCAAATCTTTGCCCTACAGAAGGTTCTCTCCCAAGACCCTCCTCCAGCCTCTCCCTGACCCTTCCCTACTTTCTCCACCTCTTGGACAGACCCTAACTGTTCTTCCCTTCCCGGAGCTTTTGCCTATCTCACCCTCCCCTGCTCCTCACAGTCTCCCAGAGTCGCTTTTCCAGACAAATCTCCATGGAAACAGCTGAGTCAGCTCTCCCAGAGCTGCCCCAAATATCTGAGAGGATCCCAGTCACAGATTTCTGAGGGAGGGAATCCCGTAAAGCCGCCGCTCCACAGCGCCTCTATTGGGAGAAAAACGTAATTACAAAAAAACCTGGGGTTTAGAAATCCAACCTCAGAAAGGAGTTCACTCCCACGGTTTTTTCTACAAAGCGATCCTCACGTCCACGGAGGAGAGCCCTGACCTTAGACTCCTGAGTATGTACTCTTCCCACTGACACTCCGCCCCTCCCTGGTGACAGTAAAGCCCTTGCTCGCAAATAAGAGAATGACACCAATAATATCTCTCCTTGGCGCCCCCACTAGGACCCTCCCTTCGTCCATTTCTGTGCCATGGGGGCGGCTTTCCACTCCCAGGTGGTTAATCCGGAATCCCCGTGAGTCCTCTGGGATCTACTACAATTCCTACACCAGGTTTCTTTCTTACCTGGCCTCCAGATCCGACCCACTCCTTGGGCCCAGCAGCCTCTGACTGGCACTTGGTAAAGTTTGTAAAATTTGCAAGTTCCCCAAACCCCTTTGAAAGGTAAAAGCTTTTTGTTTTATAAAACCTGATTTACGGGCCCCCGGTGCAAGGCCAAGGTTTTATATATTATGCAAGATTTCAAACTAAGGCTGTAAAACGTACGGTTTCAGTTTCATGCATGGAATTTTTTTATGTGTAAATTTTTTAACATTTATGGGGCACGTTTTAATGAGGCTCTGGTGTGGCTCCAGGGACAGATTATGGCTGCCTGACCGCAAAGCCAGTTCCAAAATGGGGCCTCCCAGGCCCCTGGGCCCACTCTGAAGAGGCAGGCCTGGAGGCCGGAATCTAGGAGTGAGGAGACTCGTGAAGGAGCCAGCCCAGAGCTGTGGGCCCGCAGAGACCTCATCCAAACCTGATCTGAAAGTCACTCACCTCAGCCTTCAGTCCAGGCTCTCTGCCTAGAAGGGACCTGCAAACCTCACAGCCACCAGGGAGAGGAAAGGAAATAAGAATATCAACCATGATAATAATTAACATCTATAGAGCACTTACAGGTACCAGGTGCTATCCTAAACTATTTGCATCTATTATCTTATATAATCTCCATTCCAAACCCACAAAGCTTAATATTAATATTAAGAATATTATGCCCATTTGCTGGAGGCAGTTGGTTCAATCCTCAGAACACTCTTTTCTCTCTTTCTATCTCCTCCCCCCCCCCTCTTGTGTGTGTGTGTGTGTGTGTGTGTGTGTGTGTGTGAGAGAGAGAGAGAGAGAGAGAGAGAGAGAGAGAGAGAGAGAGAGAGAGAAAGAGAGAAGAAGTCGGTTTTTCTCATTGGTAGGACATGGAGCTCACTTATTCTCCCTCACTAGATATCCAAGAAGTCTCCGGCCTCCCAGCACTGAGAATACATGTGCATGTCTGCACAGGCCACCACGTCTGTCATTTCTGTGTGAGTGCTGGGACTAGAACTCAAGTCCTCACACTTGTACAGCGAGCACTTTACCAGCGGAGCCATCTCCCCAGTCTCATCGTCCTCGTTTCTGAGTCGTGAAATGCAGCTCCCCTCTCAGCTATTGAACCCACACGCGCGCGTGCGCATACACACACACACACACACACACACACCCCACACACACACAGAGGGAGAGAGGGAGGGAGTGCTAATGTCTCCTGACATTTCTAGAAGTGTCAGGTCTTCCTTTCGTTGTTTTTTGTTTGTGTTTGTTTGTTTTGTTGTTATTTTCCCAGTCACGTCTCATTCCGCTCTCAGGAGAACAGGGCCACTCTTAATTTGTTTTGTGGTGTTGGAGGTCACGTGCAGGACCTTGCACACGCTCGGCAAGCACTCTGTCACCAAGTTCCACCCCGAGACCAGCGAATCGCTATTAATTTATTTTATAGCCGAGAAAACTACAGTACAGAGATTAAGAATTGTTCAAGGCCTCCAGGGGGAAGACAGAAACCTCTCCGTCCCCAAAACCACCTCCTTGACGTCTCCACTTTGTTCTCTAGATTCTCACACGAGCCTGGCAGAGAGCAGCTATTGTCCCCATTCAGTGGAGAGAGAAACCCAC